AAAAAAAAAAAAATTAGCACAATGCATGGCCAACACCAAAGAGAAGTGTCACCTCACCACAGCAGGAATGTCCTCTTCCAAATAATTGTCAAAGTCCCAATCATATTTGACAATAAAGTCCAATTGTTTCTGGAAATCATCTATTGTCATGAGTAAGCGCTCTTGCAGATCAAAAAGTTGGGGTGTAACAGAACGCTGACCATCATCAATGATATCAACCAGCTTTTGACTTAGTTCCTTTATCTGGCCAGATACACCAAAGTTTTGCTTTGTGTCCAGCAAATTTAGAACTTTTTCCTTTATCTCACTAAAGCGTCCAAGTAAAAAGGAATCTTCAAAGAGGTTTGATATTTGATCGAAAAATTTGGCCGACATTATCTTTGACTGACTTTCACTAAGAAAACCAGAAAGCCTCTCTGACAAGCGTGTAAAAGTTTCCGAAAACTCTGACACGAGTTTCGATCCATCCCTTGCTGTTGCAATTCCAGTTGGTTCATCATTGACCGCAGCTATCTCCGGATTATTTGAATTGCTAGAGAATGTGGATTGCTGCTGGTTTGCAGGCCAGGCGCCCTCCGTCATTTTTTCCGCAGCAGCTTCCATTTGTTCAGATTTTGTATGAGCTGACTCCTCAACTACTTTACAATCCAAGCCTTGCATGCTCAACCCAGCACCTCGGACTTCTAGTACCCAAGTGTCAAATCCTTGGCCACACATATAACGGGCAAAAGAAGACTGCAAGAATGTTTTATAGAAAACATAAATTCTAGTTAGTTACTTTACTGTTGTGTTTGTATGGCTTTGTTGTGTTTGTGTGGCTTCTGTTTTAGCTTTTCATTCTTCAAGAGAAGATAACAAGGAACAGCTCTAGTATAACAATATATACAAGTTCAAACATGCAATCGATGAAATAGAACAGATATTTCAAATGTAATCAGTAAGTTAGATATTAGTTCAAAGTTGATCTTAGACTATCAATGTGTATTTTGATTCCACATACTTTACACTCACATAATTCGATCATCCGAACATCCGATCATCCGATCAGAGATAATTCCATTTCACACAATTCAAAATGAGAGCATATACATGTAAAAATTGCCCATTAGTTCACATATAAGCATGGAATATTACTTCGCAGAAAGGAAAGAATACATCTTTCTGTAACCAAGGCAATAATATGCCGCAAAATCCAGCAATCAAACTGTCACAAGTCCAACTTCAAATCTGCCACGAACTATCTAGAAGATAATAAAACTTCTATCCAAGAAATCCCAAATTTAAAATTATACTGGATGCTCATGTGTAGAACAGAAGAAAGCTAACCCCGGGAGACAGATCATATGCAATGGCGTTTGTCCCCACGCCCGACAACAGCAAAAGCGGATGATTTCTGGCGGGAGCCTGCTTCAAATAAAGAAAGCTAGCCTGATTTATCTAGTGTCTACACAGTTCAAATGTATCAAAATCTCGACGGCTACAATGTCTGTTTTAATCTTAATCCCTCAATTGCATACATAAAATAATTCAATGTGAACCGCGGATCACGTAAACGAAAACACACACATAAAAGCGAACAGCAGTACAGTACCTCCATCATTTACCCATGTAATAAGAACAAATACCTGCGGCGGCGGAATGTAGCGCCAAACCGCGAGCCGCCAGTCGGATTTTTTGACCGGGACATAATGGAGCTCGTCGGCCGTGCATAGCGACGGTTTTCTCGGAAGCTTCTGGACGTCGGCGGAAGTTTCCTCGTTCGTTGAGAACGCTCTCGCGCTCTTGGCGCCGAGCGTCAGACGGTGGAAAGATGCGGCAGTTGGCGCGGTTGGGAGGACGAAGCGGTTCTGGAGAAAGCGCAGGCGGTGTTGGTGTTGGTGTTGGTGATGGCGGATGGCGGTGGCGGCGAGTCGGATCGCCGGAATTGTGTTGGATTGGGCGATTATCATCGTCGGTTGGTTTCCCAGTTCATGA